CTATGATGTAGCCCTGGGTCAGGTGCACATCCCTGGCATTTTTGCAGGATTTTACCTGCCAGCAATGGTGCCTTGCTGGGCCAAAAACAGCTGGCAGGGGTCCAGTACCTCGGCTAAAACTCTAATCTTGTATTTGCGATTTTTTGGATTTGGTAGCCATCCAGCTACCCAGGCGGCTGGCCCACCCGTCAGGGTCCAGCCAGGGTCCACCGGACAGCCAACACATCCCAATCCACATTCTGCCTTCTAGATGGAAGGCAGGCTCAGATTGCAAAAGTGCCTGAAAATTCCACGGGAAATTGCTCACCCCGCACGGGCAAGCAGGGTGGCAGGACATTGGTCTCTGCAGTGGGTCTGGGCTAGAAATACATGCTGATTGTCCGCGCGGCAAAATGGTTTGTAGTGTACAGACGGCGGGGGATGCTTTTTCGTGTCGCGCCGGGCCAAGGGAGCGGGCGCAAGGCCGGGTCAAGGCGACGTCAATGGAAGAAGCGGGGTATCAAGTGCATCTCGTCGCCCGGCGAGGTGTTAGCTGGAAGCGCCCCGCCGGGAACAGCGGCGGCTGCGGCGGGTGTGGCGGCGTGGACAGTGGTGACCTGGTCCGACATCTGGGGCCACTGATCAAAGATCGAAAGGGTCTCGTCGAGGAGATGCCAGGGAAGCTCGTCGGCGTCGCCGGCGCCGGGCGCTCCCGTGCCGACGCCCGTCGCGAATGCGGGAAAGGCGGTGGAGAACGAGGAAAAGCCGTGGGCCGCCGCGGCCTGGTCCGGGCCGGTCATCGCCGTGGTCTGGCCGTTGGCACCCGCCCCTGCGCTGGCTGCGCCTGTCGTGGGCGGCTGGTGGTCGGTTGCCCCGAGCTCGTGGCGAACGGCGGTAGCGACGAGCTGCATGACGCGCAAGAGCTTGTCGCGCAGCCTACCCTCGCGGTGGGGTACCGGCTCGTCTGTGACGGCGGCGTCGGCCCATGCCGCAAAGCAGAGCTCGGCCTCGGTCAGCGACCTTCGGATCTTTCCGGCGCAGAGGCAGTCGAGGGCGGCGAGGAGCGTCGCGACAGTGATGGCGTTGAAGCCGATCATGTGACTGTCGAGCAGGGCGAGGTGGTGGCGCTGGAAGCAGTGGAGCAGCGCATCGGCTCGGTGCATGAGCTCCGGCAGCGACGGCCCCCACAGAGGTCGCTGCCGACGGTCGTGCCTCTGTTCCTCGGCGTAGCGCCACAGATTGAACTGAGACACGGACCGCGACCGCGGGCGCGGGCGCGGGCGCGGGCAGGGGCAGGGTTAAGGGTAGCTGCGTCAGCGTCGACGGCCGGGACCGAACCTGGCCAGCACCACCGCTTTCGGCTCCGGCGCGTGGATCGGCTCACCTCGGTCAAGAGCAGCAGCAGCCGTGCAAAGACGGCGCAGGGCGGCAGCGTCTCGAGGGCTTCGTGCGCCGACTCGTTGGCCTTGGCGTTCCAGTACTGCATGCGGGCGACGACTTGGTCCGGAACCGCCTCACGCGGGTGCTCTTCATCGGGCGATCCTCCGTTGATGGTGATGTCTGTACAGACGGGGAGCGGAGGCGCGGCGGCGGTGAGCGTTGGAGAGACAAGCAGCAGTGCCCGTCGGGCCGCCATTCGGCACTCACACAGCAGACGACTGACTTGTGCGATCTGGGTGCGAGGTGAGGCGGGACGGGACGGGGCGCGGAGGGATCAGGGACTCATTGAGGTCAGCTGGGCGAGCGGCTGCGTGCGACGAGCTTGGAGCGGCAGGGCATCAGCGTCCCCTCACATCGTAGATGGAGTCGAACGACCCGAACGGCGCGCCATATCCGCTCGCGGCATCTTCGAGGGCAAGCTCAGAAGCAATGGTTGGAGGCTGACCGAAGCCTGCAGCGTGGCTGTGGTGGGCAGATGGAGACGGGTCAGGGCGAAAAAGGTGCGAAGCACGGGTGCACGGAGGTTGGGTCGTCAGTGGCTGGTCGAGCCGCGACAAGCCGCGTTGACGTGCTCCCTTGGCGCGCCGCCCCTGCGCTTGCGTCTTGGTCACTCACAAGGCGTCGACGAGGATGCAGCACTTCCACGCGCGCTCTCGGGCGTCGCCGCCGCTGATGACGGGCGAGAGGGCGCTGAGGTGCTTGTGGCGGTGGAAGCCGAGGTCGAGGGCCATGCGGAAGGCGGCGCCGGCGTACATCCACAGCAGGCTGTGCGCCTCGGTGCTCGACTCGGAGAGGAGCTCGGGGGTGAGCGAGAGAAGGAGAAGCGTCTGGATGTTTCGAAGAGAGGTGCGCAGGAGCAGCTGGAGGCCCTCGCCGGCCCGGAGGCGGTCGCGCAGGGCGTAGACGATGGCGCGTCGCTCGTCGAGTGGACGGGAGCGGGAGAGGGAGCTGATGGCGCAGATGACGAGCGCGAGGAGCGAGAGGGGCGGCGCGCCGCTGCGCTGCTTGAGCCAGATGTCGACGTCCGGATCCATCTGATCGAGCGAGGGCGCCTGCAGTGCGGCCAGCATCTCGGCCTGGGCGTCGTCGTCGGAAAGGACGGGAAAGACGGGCATAATGTTGGCGGCGAAGTGTGCAAAGACTTGGGCAAAAGACGAGGCGAGCGCGCGGGCGCGGGCGGGCAAGGTTGGGAGCAGTCAGCAGACGGCCCGGGTGAGTACGGCGCTCGCAGGACGAATCCAGACGATGCGGGCTGCTCAGGGCGTCGGATGGATTGGCCGCCGGCTGAGACTCACGCGAGCAGACGGCGGTGGCGAGGATCCTGGCCGAGACGCCGCGCTGCCTGGCCAAGTCGCGGTGGATCGAGGGCGAGGAGAGCGAGTCGTGGTCGTGGGCGGCGCGGGTAAGCTGGAGCGGAGGTCGAGCGAGGCCGGGCGGCCGACGCAGGCGGATGTGGGCCTGCCGCTGGTCCCAGTCGCGGAGGGCGGGACAGACCTCGCCTAGGCACCAAAAGACGTGCTGCGACATGGCGGTGAAGCCATTGTACCGGGTGTTGGAGTCGCGCGGCTCGGCCGTTTCGGGCGAGGCGTGGCTGGGCGACGACGAGGCGGCCGAGGCGTCCGTGTGGACGATGTGGTGGTGGTGGTGGTGGTGGTGCTGCTGCTGCTGCTGCTGCTGCGGGTGGGCATATTGGGGAGGGTGCGGCTGGTCGTGATGGCCGTGTTGTTGGCGATGTGGCTGATAGTTGTGCGGGTGTGGATAGGAGTCATGGTGCGGGTTGGGCTGGTGGTGGGAAGGCGGAGAGCGCGGGCGCATCCGGGGGACCCGATCTGGCTGCCATGGCGGGTCGGTCGAGGCGAGGTCGTGACGGTGGCCCTGCTGAACTGGGTGGCCGCCACTCGTCATGGCGGTCGAGGCGGACGATGCGGATGCCGGCGAGGTCGCCATCGTGGCACTGTTCGCTGGTGGGTCAGCAGCTGCGGACGCGGACGACGAGGGTGAGAGGGCGGAAGGCGGTGCGGCCGACGAGGCACTAGGGCGGGCACGGTGGCGGCCGCCGCGGCAGGGCAGTCGGTACCTCTGGCATCGCCTGCATGCTGCGATTGCAGCGTGGCGAGAATCCGAGGGCTGGTCAAACTCGCATCTGTGCGGCGTCGACGGTGGCTCCAGGTGGGACGGGAGGGTGTCAGTGCGATCGAGGCGGCGGCGGCGGCGAGAACCGATTGCCAGGGCGGACGTGAGAGCATAGGTGGGAAAGTGAGGAAGTTGGCTCACCTCTGCTTGCGATCCTTGCACTCGATGCAGGCCTGAAGCGTCCTCTGCCGGTCGCGCGGGCGCTGCGAACGTTGCGAAGGGGCAGCGGGCGTGGTGGTGGTGTTGGTGGCGGTGGCGGTGGCGGGGGTCGAAGAGTGGTTCAAGGATGAGGCGGCTGGCATGGGGCGGGGGAGAGGCGGGGGAGACGGGGAGAGGCGGTACGTGTTGCCAAGACAAGGCGCCGACGAGATTGAAGCCAGAGATGCCGCTAACGCCTACGCCTGGACGTGCGGGGGAGGGGGGTGGATAATGGGCTGAGGCTTGGGCTGGGATAGTGGAATCGACTGTTGGCCGACGAGGGGGGGTGGTGGTGGTTGGTGTTCTGGCGGATAGCGACCGAGGCTCGGGCGGCGACGGCAAAACGGCAAAGCGGCGGCGGGCGCACCTGGCCGGCGACGAGGCAGAGGCAGAGGCAGAGGCAGAGGCGAGGCAGGGCGAGGCGAGGCAGCGCGATTATGAGGCCACGAGGCGCCTGGCCGCCGAGTTGCCGCGATTACGCTACAGGATAGGTACCACCCCGGCGGCCCCCCCCCCCCTCTGCCGCTATCTCGCCGCGCGTACGTCTTCTTGTCCGCGACGGCGCTAGCCACGCACGCCACCGCTGCGCAGCGCGTCCCAGCGGTTCCCTTTTGTTCGCCTTCTCCCCCCGCGTCAACGACCCCGGCAACGACCCTCGCCGGTGCGGCATCCCTCGGACCTCTGCGGCGGCTCGAGCGATGCGGCAACCTGAGCGGGGACCATGGCAAGGAGAAGCGGGACCGAGCCCTCGTCCAGGATCCCCATCCTCGAGGATGAGGATGAGGATGAGGCCGGTCATGGCGCCGGCCTTGGGCCCCATTCCCTACCCTCGGCCGCCGCACCGCACTTGTATATAGCTCTTCGACGTCGTCGACGCCTGCAACGAGCGACCAGTTCAGCCCGCCACCACCGCACAGCTACCACTTCGCTCCCCTTGTCCGCTCTCCACGACGTCGTCCGTTCTGCCCTGGCCACCGCTTTGCTTCCACCGCCTGGATACCACCGAGTCCCGCTGCCACCATGATGCCCAGCCTCACGCCCGTGCCCAACCACCTCGCCCGCCGCCTGCGCAACGGCCAGCTCGGCACCGCCATCACCGCCCGCCTGGTCGACAAGATCGACATGGCCTCCCTCGCCTACGTCTCCGGCTGGCACTCGGTCCTCATCGACCTCGAGCATAGCGTGTAAGTCGCTCCACTCCGCGCCCCAATCGGGCGTCGAATCGTCGACCGTCGATCGTCGACCGTCGACCAGCAGCGAACCCATGCCAGGGACCAAGGCGGCCGGCGACTCGTCGAATCCAATCATGTCGCATTCTGCCATCCCGGGATGGGATCCTGATCGCCTCTGTCCCTCCCTCTCCCCCCGCCCAAACCGACAGCATCGGCCAGGAGGCCGCGATCCAGCTCACAAGGGCCTGCATCCTCGCCGGAATAGCCCCCGTCATCCGCGTGCCCCAGGGCGACGCCGCCTGGCTCGGTCGCGCCCTCGACGCGGGAGCACAGGGCGTCATTGTGAGTGCAGCGCGCCCCCACGTCGCTCTCGGACGCGGTCCTGGCCGGCGCCCTGACAGTCAGGACCGATCCTCACCCCTTGGCCTTGTCGCCGCTTTGCCATCTCTTCGGACAGGTCCCGCACGTCGACACGGCCGACGAGGCGAGGCGCATCGTCCAGCAGGCACGCCACTTTCCGCGCGGCCACCGCTCCTTCACCTACAGCTTCCCCTCGCTCCACCACCAGAACCTGCCCCCGCAACAAGCCTTCGACTACATCGACAGCGAGACGCTCGTCTTTTGCATGCTCGAGAGCCGCACCGCCATTGCCAATGCAGAGTGAGTCGAGTCGGAGTCGGGTCGAGTCGAGTCGCCGCGGGGCTGGAGAGAGCCTTTCGTGCAGCCGCCGCGGTCAGCCCGCCGACTGACCTCTCCCGACCCCTCTCTCCCGCCCGCCCGCTGCGTCCGCTTTTTGGCCGGCCTCTCTGTGGCCCGCAGGGAGATTGCCGCCGTCGAAGGCTTCGACGTGCTCCTGATCGGCTCGGCGGACCTGACGACCGACATGGGCATCAGCTGCCAGTTTGACCATCCCGACTACGACGCCGCAGTGCTGCGCGTCTGCGACGTGGCCAAGCGGCACGGCAAGATTGTCGGCCTGGGCGGCATCCAGGGCCGGCCGGACCTGCTCAAGCGCTACATTGACCACGGCGCCCGCTTCATCATGGGCGGCGCAGACTGGGGCATGCTCCTCGCCGCCTTCCAGAACCAGCAAAAGAGCCTCATGACGCTCCTCCCAGACCAGGATGAGGTCAAGGCCGCACCCCTCCAGCTGCCCGTCTCGCGCTAGCCGACACGCCCCGCTCGAGGGGTGCCTGGCATCCTTGTTGGTACTGTGTGTAGCTGCGGTGGCGCTCTTTTGCTATGGTCGACGAATGCATTGGTTGTTTCGGTCATCACGCTCCTCCGGTCGCCCTCGACCGTTCAACTCGTTCCCGCGCGCTTGTCTTTGGCTGGCTGGAAGGACAGACGACGTGACGGCATGGCGAGGTGGCCTCGACGCTCCCAAAGGGCTGGTCTGCTTGCCCGCTTGCTCGCCTGCTCGAGGAGGATGGCGGTGCCTGATTCGCTGAGAGGGGCGTGGCTAAACGAGACGAGACCCGCTCGGCGTCGTTTGCACGCTCCAAGGCTGCGGGCGGGGGGTCCGGCAGCGAAGCCGGCTGGCCACCCGCCGGCCAACTCGCCGTTGATGCCCTAGAGCAAATCAGGGGCCGACTCGCGCTGGCGCGGCAAAATGCCGTCCAGGTACTGTACTGTACATCCTGTACATACATGTAGATGGCCGAGGCACGGCCTGCAAAGGCAGCGCCGGATGTTGCGGCGCTGTGCATCGACCTGTTTTGGTCGTGTCGGGGCGTCCTAGCCTTTGTTATGCGCGCGCGGGACCCAAGCGCAACGGCATCGCGGCATCTCGGCGCGGTCATGCTACCCGTGCAAAGGCGGCTGCGGCGGCGGCGGCGAGGGCCGGCCAAAGAAGTGCCGCCGACCGACGTCTCGACGCCACGTACGGTCCACCGGTCCCCGCAGTCTGGGGTCAAGCAGCCTTCCGCATGGCCCTGGATTTTTATCTCTCTAGCGGAAAGCGGACGAGCGGTGGGTGGCCAGCAGCCATCGCCGTCAACGGCGCCATAGCGGAAGGGTCATGACAGTGCCCGCGGCGTCGTTGGGCCGGCGTGCCTGTCTATTATTATACAAGCGGCGTCAAGAGGCGGGGGGGGCAGCGACGGGTCGATGCTGACGACGAGCCTTGCTTTCGATCCACCACATCCCCGGACGCCCCTCTCCCCTCTCACACCAAGGTGCGCCATATCCTCGTCGTACACAAGGAATCCCAACACGGTCGACTCGTCCTACACCTCGCTCGCCGCTTCAACATGCCACCGATCGCCACAGCAGACCTCGCCGATCCGGCGGCCACCGCCCCGTTCGCAGCAAGCAAAGGGTCGTCGGCTTCGGCGCCGCCGTCATCCAAGGCTGCGCCCGACGAGGCCGCCGAGCGCTTCGACAACGTCTGGAGAGGCATGCCCACTCTCCCGCTCGACCCGTGAGTTACCCTGGCCGCTCTTTGTCAGAAGTCCCTTTGGCGTCCACTTGCCGGCTGCAAGCGTTACAGCTCTGCGTCTGACAAGCTGGTGTCGCTCTCCGTTGCCCTCTTCTCGGCGCCAAACAGGATGTTTCACCTCAACCAGCGCTTCGTCGCTGACCAGCATCCCGACAAGATCAACCTGGGAATCGGCGCGTACCGCGGCGAGGACGCTCGACCGTGGCCTCTGCCCAGCCTCCAGGGCGCACTCAGGGCTCTGACGGCGGGCGAATCGGGCAGCGACGACCCCGCGACGCTGCACGTCAGTCACGAGTATCTCGGCATGGATGGCCTGGTCCCCTTTACACGCGAGGCGGCCAAGCTCCTCTTTGGCCCGGACGAGGCGGCGACGCCGCTGCTCGCGTCGATGCAGACGACCGGAGGCTCGGGCGCCAACCACTTTGGCGCGTGCCTGATCCAGCGCTTTTACCGTGGCGCGCGCAACGAGCGGAACCAGGCCATCGTCTACCTGAGCAACCCGGGCTGGCCCAACCACCGCAAGATCTTTGAGGCGGCGGGCGCAGAGGTGCGCGAGTACGACTATTTCACCGACCGGCGCCGTCCGCGGCTCGAGCTGGCAACGATGCTCGAGCAGCTCGAGGCGGCGCCCGAGCAGAGCGTCGTGGTGCTGCACCCGTGCGGCCACAACCCGACCGGCTGGGACCCTAGCGAGGAGCAGTGGCAGCGCATCGCCGACGTCATGCTCCGGCGCCGCCTCTACGCCTTCTTCGACTCGGCCTACCAGGGCTTTGCGAGCGGCCAACTGGATCGGGACGCGTACGCGGTGCGGCTGTTTGCGCGGCTCGAGGTTCCGATGCTCGTGTGCCAGAGCTTTTCCAAGAACATGGGACTGTACGGCCAGCGGCTCGGTTGCATCCACGTCGCGTGCCACCGCAGCAGCAGCGGCGACGGCGATGCGGCGGCGTCGGCGACGCGCGACGCCGTCCAGTCGCAGCTGCGTTCCATCTCGCGCGAAGAGATTTCGACGCCGCCACGCTTCCCCGCCGACCTGGCGCACCTGGTCCTCACTCGGCCGGAGCTCAAGGAGCAATGGCACGCGGACATGGCCACGATGAGCGCGCGCATCCGACGTGTCCGCACCGAGCTGGTCCGCCTCCTCACCGAAGAGCTGCGCACGCCCGGCGACTGGACCCACATTGCGCTGCAGCGGGGCATGTTTGCCTACCTCCAGCTGAGCCCGGAGCAGTGCGCGCGGCTCGTCGAGGAAGGACACATCTACCTCACCCCGACGGGTCGCGCCAGCGTGTCGGGTCTCAACGACGCCAACGTGCGCCACCTTGCCGTGTGGATCGACAGGGTGGTCCGCGAGACGCCCGGCATCGATGCCGCCTCGTCCTGAACCAGACGTCTGTAGTTTGAGCCGAGTCCGTAAAGGCAAGCCGAGAGACCAATGGCAATCCGACAGCCTGACCAACGAGCGTTTCTGTGATCATAGCCACATTGTGGCTCGAGCCATTGTGCGTGCGCTGGTGCTGGAACCGTTCGTGCCCCGGCGCTCGGTCCGTGGCAAGCCTGACCTGGCTCAGAGGCGGAGGCAAAAGCCCGACCGCCGCCTGCGCCTGCTGTTTCTACTACTGTTAGGGAAGCGGGGGCCCTGCTGGTTACGCTTGCGCGCGCTGGGCGGGCATACGCCAGACGGGCGATCTAAGTTCGGTCCTCGAGGAGTTAGACTGGCTGGGACGGGACAAGCTACGTCCATCAGCGATGCCAGGCGTCATGCCGGATCGAGTCTGACATGTTGGTCGCACGTCGGAGGGGGCCCGTCCCGGTCCAGGAAGCGATAGAAAGCAAAGGGTTTGCGGGGCTCTCCATATTGACCTGGGGCCCCGAGGCGCATCACGCGACGAGCGACCGCCAAGCCGACGACGGCATCTTTCGACGAGCATCAAGGTCGATGACGAACCCACGTGGGGGCGCCCCGTCGTTATCCGGTGCCGCCAGGCGGTATGCAAGCTACGGCATCGCGGGGAGCGGCCTTCTTGCTGTATCCGCAGGGACGGGAAGACGAATAAATTACAGCAGCTAGAGTGGCGAGTACGTGCAAGCTGAGTGCAGGCGATAGCGCGGGGATCATGCGATGCGGGGGTGGCGGAGACAGGGCGAAGGTCGGCGCGGCAACGCGGCAAGGGAGGGCGGCAACGCGGGAGTGGATCCCGCCTCCGCTGGCGGCCTCTCATCTGTTTCTCTCGCCTGTCTGTATGTGGCCTTGGCCGACTCGCGCGGGGAGAAGACCGGGGCACTTTGACAGACAGAGAGGTTAGGGACGACCGAGGCTCCCAGCAGAGGCGGCCGCCATTGGCTCGTCGTAGCGGCCTTTCTCCCCACACTTTTCCCCCCCTCGTAGCCCGCCCGCCCCCTCTTCTCCCGCCACCGCCCCAGCATCGACCGACGCATCCAGGCGAGTACCGTACCTGACCTGGTCTGGCCGGTCGCACGATCCGGGCCGTCTGCCTGACCCCGCCTCATCTCCGTATCTACGTATCACGCCGCACCTGCAGACAGATACCTGGGCCGACTGCGAGCGCGCGCCCGCGGGCTACAGCACGGCGGTCCTCGAATCCTCGTTGCTCGTCCTCGCCTTGGCCGAGGACCCTTCGCTCCAGGTCAGGACCATCTCTGCCTTCCTGGGGTAATCGTTGGCTCCTCTCGTCACTCGCACCCTCAGTACTCTGCACCGCACTTTCCCCCAGGCGCACACCTGGCCCACGAGGGGCCCCGCTGCGGGCCCGTCGCCCTGCCGGGAGCATAGCGATAAGCGCCCACGCACGCGCACGCGCACACCACACCACACCTTCGACAACGTTATAACCCCACTCTCCTTGGACCACACCGACCATCTCCCTCCCCCCGTCTACCCCGTACAGACACACCCAAAACCTCCCCCTCGCCGCCGTCCCATCCACTCCGACCTTAGTCTTCCTCTTGCCTCGCCCTTGCGCCGCCCCGTGCTTCGGTGTCCCACCCAGCCAGACCCGTCGCCCGTCCGCTCCCGGTAGCCCCTCTCAGCTCCCCTTGAGCTTCCACTTCCGCATCA